AGGATTGATTTTTCATACACATGACATTCAAGTGAAATCCTTCTATTCTTCTCTTTCTAACGTCGGATATCAGATTCCTGGAGAGTCATTTTTTTTTTTGTTTTTATTGCTCTTAGGTGACCGTTGTTATTACAAATACATTATATTCTGTTGTCGCTCGGGCCTGTGCTGAATTTTGTATATTTTTAAAGCTTTTTGCGGTGTTTTATTAGATCTTGAAATTTATTGGAACTCGAAAAGCGGGCAGCATTTCTTAAAGAATCTGTCACAAAGAATTTTCAACACGTCCCAAAATCTCGAATCTTCGCCTTTTCTTTCTTTCGTGCCAGCTTGAAGCATCCTGAGCACATTATTCTGTGTGTTTTCTTTTTTACCTCACTTTGAGTTTTATGGGTTTCCTCAGGACATTTGGGACTTTTTCATAATCTGTTGATATAATTCAGTGTATTTTACAAGCATTATCCTAAGTTTTTACCTTCTCCCATAGAAATCTCGGAGATAGTCGGAGCTTTTCCATGCTGTTTGATGGTCCAAAACGCCCTAGATAAATTGTTCTTGGGTTTTACCTCCCTCTGATTCTAAAATAGAAATCCTGAAGGCAATCGGGGCTTTTCTGATCCTATGTTGACAACTCGTTCGTCCTGATCAGATTGCTTTCTGTTCTTTTCTCTTCTTGAACTGCTGTTAGTGGCGAGTGTAAATTTGGCCGAAGCGATATTCGGTTGCGTCGTGTGTTTTTACGACCTTTTCCATAACCATAAAATATTTAAATTGAAATTAGTAGTTCATGGGGGAAGTTTGGCGTGTCTTGGCTCAGTGTATTTTAGTAGTTTGTGGACCATCCCGTTTTCAGTTTAGCCTAAAAAAATTCGGGGGGTTATTGGGGTCTTTAGTATTTAAGGTTATAGAGAAAGTATGAGCAAAAAACGATGAAAGGGTTCTAAGGAATTATTTAAGTAGGTAAGAAATGTTTCGGTCCATTATGTCGTATACATTTCCTACCTTTACCACAATTGGACCTCGTCAGTACGACGATTGTGGTAAAAGAATTTTGAACAGTATTTTGTGTTGAACAGTATAGAATTTTGAACAGCCCGAAACGTCCTATATACAATCGCCGTCGCATAGAAATTCTGAGGAAAAACGAGGCTTTTTCATACTCTGTTGATGGCGTATATTAGATACATTTCTCCTAAGTTTTTGCTTCATTAAGTTTATGAAATCTTATGAATTGTCAGATATGTTGAGTTTTGTTGCACTGCAACGTTCGGTCTTTCTGGTTATCATATAAGGGTATTTTTTTGATACAAGAAACTACCTTTCAAGGATTTTATTCAAAAAATATTCTGTGCATTATATTTTTTTACTATTTTACGGTGCTTTCTGCAAAAATTTTTATCGAACATCGTTGATTTCCTCCACTAAAAAATGTTCATTACCAGCTGTAATGCTTAGTAATTTATGCAATAAGTTGACAAACACACACATACAGACATATGCTAACATACACACAGACATATGTGTGCATACACACATACTAACAGACAAATACACACACATACACACATACAAACAGACACATACATACATGCATATAAACACATACGTACACAAATACATACACACGCACACACTGGAGAGTCGGGATAACCGAAGACCGACCAAAGCAACTCAACAATTTGGGCAATGAAGGCAAACTGTTCCTGGCAGTTTTTAGCACTTGCTCATACATTTACCACATATGCACCCACCGACACATACACATCCATACACAAACAGCGTGGTAGACGTACACACAGACACATACATAAACACATGTGCAAATACATATACACATGTCGTAGACTCTTAATAGTAAATGCCCATTACTAGCTGTAGTCTTTAAAATAACTCATGCTTTAAGTCAATACACCGACAGACAGACATACATGTACACACACACACACACACACACACACACACACACAACTTCCTCCAATCATAGAGTAAGAACTTGAGTCTCACCAAATTATCACAAACTGCTATTCAGATTTTTTTGCGAATTCTTCTCAGTTAGCTTTTTACATTAGTGGGAATCTCGACAAAATGCGGCATCATTTGTTTCATTGAAGGAAAAGGTAGAAAATGATGAAATAGAAAAAATGAAGAAGGGAAGAAAAACGAAGTGAAAATAATTGGCCAACGCACGGGCTGCCCGTGTGAAGATGCGTTTTTTGCATGGTTCCCCGCAGTTTTTGTTGCTACCGGCACTGGTTTTTTCGGCAAATGCTTTTAGCTAACAAATTATGACTGGCCACCAGAACTTTCAGAAAACATTCCCTTTAAAATTTCAACTTTCTAACTTCCCTGGCACCTGAGTTAACAACTTACTGGAACAAAATTTTCACGGCCTGTGCATG